GGCGACTGCTTCGCAGATCGCAGCCCCCCAGGGGACGGCGAGGTCTCGCGATGCTCTGCGTGGGACACCCCTCCGCTTGACCTCCAGGAGCCCACGAAAGTGGCGGCAGTTTCGCAGATCGCAGCCCCCCAGGAGACGGCGAGGTCTCGTGGTGATCTGCGTGGGACACCCCTCCGCTGGACCTCCCGGGAGCCCACGAAAGTGGCGATTGTTTCGCAGATCGCAGCCCCCCAGGGGGCGGCGAGGTCTCGCGGTGATCTGCGTGGGACACCCCTCCGCTGGACCTCCCAGGAGCCCACGAAAGTGGCGATTGTTTCGCAGATCAGCCCCCCAGGGACGGCGAGGTCTCGTGGTGATCTGCGTGGGACACCCCTCCGCTGGACCTCCCAGGAGCCCACGAAAGTGGCGATTGTTTCGCAGATCGCAGCCCCCCAAGGGACGGCGAGGTCTCGTGGTGATCTGCGTGGGACACCCCTCCGCTGGACCTCCCAGAGCCCACGAAAGCGGCGACGTGTCGCAGATCGCAGCCCCCCAGGGGACGGCGAGGTCTCGTGGTGATCTGCGTGGGACACCCCTCCGCTGGACCTCCCAGGAGCCCACGAAAGTGGTGACTGTTTCGCAGATCGCAGCCCCCCAGGGGACGGCGAGGTCTCGTGGCTGGACCTCCCAGGATCCAACGAAAGTGGCGACTGTTTCGCAGATCGCAGCCCCCCAGGGGACGGCGAGGTCTCGTGGTGATCTGCGTGGGACACGCTGGACCTCCCAGGAGCCCACGAAAGTGGCGATTGTTTCGCAGATCGCAGCCCCCCAGGGGAGCGAGGTCTCGTGGTGATCTGCGTGGGACACCCCTCCGCTGGACCTCCCAGGAGCCCACGAAAGTGGCGATTGTTTCGCAGATCGCAGCCCCCCAGGGACAGCGAGGTCTCGTGGTGATCTGCGTGGGACACCCCTCCGCTGGACCTCCCAGGAGCCCACGAAAGTGGCGATTGTTTCGCAGATCGCAGCCCCCCAAGGGACAGCGAGGTCTCGTGGTGATCTGCGTGGGACACCCCTCCGCTGGACCTCCCAGGAGCCCACGAAAGTGGCTATTGTTTCGCAGATCGCAGCCCCCCCAGGTGACGGCGAGGTCTCGTGGTGATCTGCGTGGGACACCCCTCCGCTTGACCTCCCAGGAGCCCACGAAAGTGGCGACTGTTTCGCAGATCGCAGCCCCCCAGGGGACGGCGAGGTCTCGCGGTGACCTGCGTGGGGCACCCCTCCGCTGGACCTCCCAGGAGCCCACGAAAGTGGCGTCTGTTTCGCAGATCGCAGCCCCCCCCCCCCCCGGGACGGCGAGGTCTCGTGGTGATCTGCGTGGGACACCCCTCCGCTGGACCTCCTGGGAGCCCACGAAAGTGGCGACCGTTTCGCAGATCGCAGCCCCCCAGGGGACAGCGAGGTCACGAGGCAGGGAGGAGGAGGAGGAGGAAGAAAACGAGGAGGAGACTTGAGGGAGGAAGGAGGAGGGGGAGGTGGAGGCGGGGAGGAGGAGGGGGAGGAGGAAAGGAGGAGGAGGAGGAGGAGGAAGAGGAGGAGGAGGAGGAGGAGGAGGGAGGGAGGAGGAGGAGGTGGATGAGGAGAAGGAGAGGGAGGTGGAGACCACTGTGCTCTATTCAAAACGAGTACCAACACAAGATAGTTGAAAACAAAAACAAAAAGTGATAACAATAGTACAATCATGATACCACTTACTACAGTGAAACAAATAATAATAATAATAATAATAATAATAATAATAATAATAATAATAATAATAATAATAATAATAACACTAATAATAATAGTACTAATAATAATAATAGTAGTAATAATAACAATAACGAAACATATAAGAATGTAAAGACTGAAAACACGAATACGAGTAATACTATACGGAATACATGAGTCGACTGACCATACGACTAGGAATAATACGAACACGACTAAAAAGCAGCATCCTCATCAGCATCAGCATCGGCATCATCAGCATCAGCATCAGCATCATCATCATCAGCAGCATCATCAGCATCATCATCATCATGATCAGCATCACCATCATCATCATCATCATCCTCATCATCAGCAGCAGCATCATCTGCATCTGCATCAGCAGCATAATCCGCAGCATCGTCATCATCAGCGTTAGCATCAGCATCATCATCATCATCATCATCAGCAGCAGCATCAGCATCATCATCAGCATCAGCATCATCATCAGCAGCATCATCGTCGCCATCGTCATCATGGCATCATCAGTAGCATAAGAATAATGCTTCCAATACTGATAAAACTCTGAACAACAGCAACAACACGTAAGACGAATTATAGCAATGATGATGATAACAATAACACCATGACAGTTCATGAAAACTCATAACAATCGCGATGATACTGGTAATACTTCTGGGAATAGACATATCGGTGATGCGACTATTCACAGCAATAAAGATTATACAAATGATGATGATGATGATGATGATGATGATGATGATGATGATGATGAAGTGATGATGATGATGGTGATGCAGATGATGGTGATGAAGATGATGGTGATGAAGATGATGGTGGTGGTGGTGATATTGCAAGTGATGGTGATGGTGATGGTGATGGTGGTAGCACTCATGATGACGACGACGAAGATGATGATGATGATGATGAGTGCGCGTGTGTAAGATAGTGGTGATGATGATGATGATGATGATGATGATGATGATGATGATGATGATGATGATGATGATGATGGTGGTGGTGGTGGTGGTGGTGGTGGCGGGAGGGTGATGAGAGGAGAGGGGTGAGGTTCTCTCTCCTGCGCTAAGTGCCCAGAGAAAACAGGAACCCCCCTAGGATGGGGAGGACAAAAATGAGAAAATCCCAAGACGCTCCCGATGCCACCAGAGCCCCCCAGGAAAGAGCCTCCGAGAGGCTCCAGAGAGGCCGCCAAGAGGCCCCCTACTCCCAAGAGACCGCACGAGGCATCCGAGAGGCCTCCTGTCCACGACCCGGGCCCGGTGGCGGGATGAGCCAAAGGCCACCAGATCCGCCGCCCCCTGTTGCTTGCAACAGGGGTGCCTGGCGTGCCGATTCATATGGTTTTTGGTTTGGCTCTTTTTCCAAAAGGACCCCCCCCCTGGAGCTTCGGCCCGTCCCGCCGGCCACCCGGAAAGGATCTCAAAACGCGTCCGTCGTGCCTCTGTTTCCTCCAGTTGGCCCAAGATGGCGTCCAAGACGGCCAAGATGGCCCAGGATGGTCTCCAAGACGTCTCCAAGACGGCCCAAGATGGCCTCCAAGACGGCTAAGATGGCCCCAAGATGCCTCCAAGACGGCCCAAGATTGCCTCAAGATGGTCTACGACCGCCCAACAGGCCCGCAAGAGGCCTCCAAGACGGCCCAAGAGCCCTCAAAGACGTCCTCCAGGAAGGCCCGAAAGGGCCAAAATCATTGATGTTCCTTAGGTTTTTGAAGGTTTGGGCATCTGCGCCTTTTCGGCTTTCCGACGGCCCAAGACGGCCCAAGAGGCCCCCAAGATCGCCCAAGAGACCCCCAAAAGGGTCCCACGACGGCCCAAGTGGCCTCCAAGAAGCCCGAAAGAGGGCCCCCAGACGGCCCAAGAGGCCTCCCACACGCCCAAGATGGCCTCCGAGACGCCCAAGATGGCCGCCAAGACGGCCCCGAAGCGCCCCAAGAGGGCCCCAAGTCGGCCCAGAAAGGCCCCCAAGACGGCTCCCGACGGCGTCAGACGTGCCAGGAACCCACCAAGATGGCCGAAGTTGGCTCGAAGCTGGCCCAAGACGGCCCAAGAGGCCCCCAAGAGGGCCTCCAGGAAGGCCAGAAGAGGCCCAAAACTTTGATGTTCCTAGGGTTTTTGACAGAGTTTGACATTTGCTTCTTTTCGGCCTTCCGACGGCCCGAGACGACCCAAGAGCCCCCGAAGATCGCCGAAAGATCGCCCAAGAGGCCTCCAAGATGGCCCCAGAACGGCCCAAGAGGGCCCCAAGACGGCCCCAAGAGGCCCCCAAGACGGCACAGAAGGCCTTTAAGGCGCCCAAGATGGGCCTCCAAAACGGCCCTGGAGCATTCCAAGAGGGCCCCGAGTCGGCCCATAGAGGTCCCCCAAACGGCTTCCGACGGCGTCAGACGGACCAGGAGCCCACCAAGACGGCCGAACATGGCCCTAAGATGGCCCAAGACGGCCCAAGAGGCCTCCAAGAGGGCCTCCAGGAAAGCCTGAAAAGGCCAAAATCATTGACTTCCCATTGGTTTTTGAAGGATTGTGGCATTTGCTTTTCTTTGCCTTCCGACGGCCCGAGACGGCCCAAGTGCCCCCAAAGATCGCCCAAGAGGCCCAAGACACGGCCCCAAGAGGCCCCCAAGACGGCCCAAGAGGTCTCCAAGACGCTCAAGATGGCCTCCAAGACGGCCCAAGAGCCCTCCAAGACGTCCTCCAAGAAGGCCCGAAAGGGTCAAAATGGCCTCCAGACGGCCAAGATGACCTTCAAGATACCCACGTGTTCCCCGAAGGCATTCCAAACCGATTCGGGGAAAACATGGTCCGATAGCTTGGCAGGTCTGGCCTCAACGTTCAGCCACATAGGCGCCTTCCAAAAAGGCAGGGGGCGGCGGTGATTCGCCGTAGGCGTCTTCGATACATCCAGATGGCACGTTGCCTGGAGATGCTCCAAGCACTCGTCCCAATCGCGGAAGGTTTCGCCGCACTCCGGGCACTCGAAGCCGTGCTTTGTGCAAGGGGTACGTCGATCACCCCTCTCTTGCAGCACCACGGCCGCCTCTGTGTCCTCGATTGGAATCTCGATGGGCACCAAGGATGCGATGTTCTGGTCATCCGCATCGCCTTCCTTGCCTGGGGAATCCAGCGCTACGGCTCCCCTGAGCGACCCGGGCTGGTGCAAAGACCACACCAGCGAGGAAGACGCCATCCGCTCCTCGAGTAAGTCCGCTTCTTCCACACAGGCAACCAACTCTCTCAACGAGTCGGCAGCACGCTTGTCCTCCCACAGCAAGATGTCTTGCCCCTGGCCGTTCTTGGACAGCCTGGCCCGCAGATTGCGCCGCAGGCTCTCTCGGATTGGAGTCGGCTGGGGGGTCCGCGCTGGATGGGTGCTGAGAAGATCGGTCAAGAGGGGGACGAAAATAAATCAGCTCTGAATATGTCTGGGAACCCCTCCCGGAGTCGAAGCAGACCCGCTCGTCGACAGCGTCCAGCCGCGGCGACCACAAGGCCCCCATTCGCCCCCCCTCTCCTGCCGGCTGGAACCGGTGCTGGGCCACCTCCGCCCCGCAGCCGGCTCCAACTCTCGGATACCATTCAGATGCTCGATGGTCGGGAGCCCAGGCAGCTGGCGGGTGAAGAGGACGGTGTGCTGGACCTTGGAAACAAGTGTTCGTTCACCGCTTCCGAAAAAAAGTGATCGACCCACGGACCCGGAAAGGAATATAGAGATGTAAGGCATGGCAACGCTTCAAAGACACCTGATTGGGCAACGTTTCAAAGACACCTGATTGGGCGACGGGCAAATGCAATGCGGAATGTATCGATCTTGATGTACTGTGCCGAAGGCTGTGCTGTGCTACGCCCTGCTGAACTGCGATGTGCCATGCCGCGATTGTGCTCTATATATATATATATATATATACACACATATATATATATATATAGCGTTGTGGATCGAGTCCTCCCTGGCATCCGAGTCCTGACCGAACTGATCTGGATATTAAGCTCGAGCTGCCTGAGCAGATGGTAGCTGCCCCAAAACTAATCGACAAAGGGGGTATGCCAGGAAGACGCGCCGCGGAACGTCCCAAGGGACGCGCCAGGCGACGTGCCAGGGGACGTGCCAGGGGGACGCACCGCGGGACGCGCCAAGGGAACGCGCTACGGAACGTGCCAATGGACGTGCCGCGGGACGTGCCAGGGGACGCGCCGCGCGACGTGCCAGGGGGACTCGCCACGGAACGCGCCAAAGAACGTGCCAAGGTGCAATGTTGAGTGTATCGATCTTGTTGTACCGTGCCGACGGCAATGCTGTGCTGGGCCGTGCTGAACTGCGATGTGCCATGCCGCGATTGTGCTCTATATAGCATTGTGGATCGAGTCCTCTTTGCATCCGAGTCCTGACTGAACTGATCTTGATCTTAAGCTCGAGCTGCCTGAGCAAATGGTAGCTGCCCCAAAACTCATCGACAGGGGGACATGCCAGGAGGACGCGCCGCGGAACGTCCCAAAGGACGCGCCAGGCGACGTGCAAGGGGACGTGCCATGGGCACGCAGCGCGGGACGTGCCAAGGGGACGCGCTACGGAACGAGCCAATGGACGTGCACCGCGCGACGTGCCAGAGGGACTCGCCACGGGACGCTCCGCGGAACGTGACAAGCAACATGCCAGGCTGCCATGCTAAGGGTATCGATATTGATGTACAGTGCCGAGGGCTGTGCTGTGCCTGGGCGACCTGGGCACGTGAAAACACGCGTTTCGCTCAAGACGTTCTCAGCACATCCTCATGCTAGATATCCGCCTGGGCAACCTGGACACGTGCAAACAAGCTTCTCGATCGTCACTTCCTCGACACATCCTCATGCTAGGCATCAGCCTGGCCGACCTGAACACATGAAAACAAGCCTCTGGTTCGAGACATCCTCAACAAATCCTCATGCTAGACATCTGTCTGGGCAACCTGGAGTCGCGAAACCAAGCGTCTCGCTCGAGACATCCTCAAGACCTGGGCACGTGAAAACAAGTATTTCACTTGAGAGATCATCTGAAGTAAGGTCCCCAGGAGAGGACAATCTATAACACAAAACAAGCGTTTCGCTCGAGACATCCTCAACAAATTCTGGAAAACAAGCGTTTCGCTCGAGACATCCTCAATGTTTTATTCGCTGGCCCACCTCGATTTCGATATTGATCGCAAAAGAAAGTCGGCGGCCCACCTCAAATCAAACCACGGGGTAAACCCACCAAAAGAGAACCCTGGGCTTAAGCCCTTTCCAGGAAAAATCAAATGGAAGAGGGAATGAAAACGGCTCCAAAAACGGAACCAGAACAGGAATTGGCAACAGAATGGCAAAACAGAACCAAAAAAGAAACGGCGCCAAAACTGGCAAACAAACCGCAAAACGGAAACCGTAAAAACGGCCGTCACCATACATCCGGCCGCTCCGATGTTGTTCGATGCGTGGGCCCCGGAGGTCTGGACTGGGGTTGGTTTTTTCGCCCCGAGTCATTCTTTGACGCTGCCGAGGCCCGGCGAGGGCCCCTAGAGGCCGAAAACTGCCAGAATCCCGCCGCTCTAGAATTTTTGAACGTCGGGTCTCTGTGTCGTTTCCAAAGCCTACTAAACGGCAACAGAACGGCAAAACGGAACCAAACAAAATAGGCGCCGGAACCGGCAAAGGAGCGGCCAAACGGAACTGGTAAAAAAACGGCCCTATCGTTTCCAGGGCCCACTAAGACCCAGAGTGGTCCTTCGGCCAATGCCTTGACTCGAACTGACGAGCCCACTGATCATGAGAAAGGCGCTGCTCGACTCGGCGTTCCTGCCCGTGCGTCGCCTGCCGCTCGGGCTCCGGTGTAGCTCAATGGGGAGGCAAGGCGCACGCCTCGGGCCCCATGAGGGCCCCCCCTTTTTGGGGGGGGGGGCCTGCACGGCCTCTTCCGAGGCCCCAAAAGGGCTTCTGTTCTGCAGCCGTCGCTGCCGCCCCCCCCCCCCCCAGTCGTCGCCCCCCGCGACGCGTCACGCCCAACGGGCGCTCGGGCGGGCTGGCGCCAGGAAGGCCGAGCGGCCCCCCTGCGGGCGGCCAAACCCTCTAGGTGCCGGGCACTGTGCAGCTGCACCCCGGCGAGCAGGGGCCGCCCGCCGTGGGCGCCGCCGCGGGGGCCCAGCGCGAAGCCCAGGCGCAGCGGCACCCTGTGCGGGTCGAGGGTCAGGAGCGCGTAGAGTCCGCGGCAGTGCCTCGAGCACGCAGGAGAACAGTAAGACGAAGCCGGGACCCGAGAGGGCCTCCTCCTCCTCCTCCTCCTCCTCCCCCTCCTCCGCCGCCTCCTCCCCCAGGAGCCAGGGCCAGGATTGAGTCGGGCCGTGACCCAAAGAGGCCCCACGAGGCCTCAAGGGTCCTCCAAGAAGACCCCAGGAAGCCCGAAGAGGCTCCGAAGAGGCTCCCAAGAGGCTCCCAAGAGGCTCCCAAGAGGCCCCCAAGAGGCCCCCAAGAGGCCACAAAAATCCTCCCCAGAGGCCCCCGAGAGCCTTCCGAAGAGGCCCCAAGAAGCATCCCTGAGGACTCTAGCCAACGTCAGCGTCGTCGTCGTCGCCGCCGCCCCCACCGTTGTCGTCGTCGTAACTCTTCAGGGTCGGCGGCACCGGCCGCAAGGCCTTCGCGCGCAGAAGTGGGTATGGGGAAGGGGGAAGGCTTCTTAAAAGGAGCCTGCGTCTCAGAAGGCGCCGACCCTACAACTGCTGGCAAGGCCCGCGCCTTCCGAGAAGCAGGGGTGCCTCTAAGAAGCGGCCCCCCCTCCCCCCCCACCCCCCTTGGCGCGTGGCCGAGCACACGAAGACGAAGCCCAGACCGGGACAGAGCCGGGCCGTGAAGTTGACCGGGGCTCTCTGGAGTCCGGCGCCGAGCATTGGTGCGGCGGGCGCTGCCGCCGCTCCAGGGCGGCTCCGCAACGCGGAGGGAGCCTTCCGTACCGCTCCGGAGCGAGCTGTCTCGGTCCTGGCCCCACCCGAAACACCCAAGGGTCATACGAATGGCCACGGTCGAGCAAGGGATAGTCAGGATGCGCGAGGAGGATGCGAGGGCCTCGGGCGCCCATGTCGAGGCTTCTCGAGCGGGGCGCGGCCAGCGAAAGCGGCGAAGGATGCACCGAGGAGGCGAGGGGGCGAGGGTACCCTTTTGGGAAGGCTGCCCACCCGTACTACGCGGGCTGACTGTGCAGGTTCACGAGGGCCCAGGCCTCCTGGCTGCCTGGATCGTCGGGCGCCGTCGCGCGCTCCCGGGATGCGACGCGCAAGCCTCCCGGGCTCGCAACGCTTGACACGCAGCAGAAAAGTTTGACGTCGACGGCTCCAGCTTCCGTTGGGTGCGCTGGGGGCCGCGGGCCCACAGCCTTTCCCGGCCAGGACGACCCCAAAACGACCAGGATCCCCTCGGGAACCCTCCCAGAAGCCCTCCAGAGACCCTCGCGAGACCCCGCAGGGACCCCTTTCTGGAGGCGCACAAGACTCAAGAATTCTGAAAGACTCCACGGAAGCCCATAAGGCATGCGGGAGAGGTGTGCCGCAGGCCACTAGATACTTCTTCTCCGCACAAAAGAGTGGCGCCGTCCACGCGGACAACAGACGATGACTCGCCAGCCAGAAAGAACGAGGCAACGCATGCGAAGTGATCAGCACCGAGGGGCACCTCCGGGGAGGTAACATGACAAGCGAAACCAAGTGGATTCATCTCGCCGAGGATGGCGAGGGTCTTCGTTCCGATGGACGAGGGGACGAGGCTAAACTGAATCTCGTATGGCGAGACCGCCTGCAACATCTCCACGTCGCCGACAGGAAACTTGCGGAAACCACCCGATGCCATGAAGCAAAGCCGTGGGTTGAAGCCGAGGTCTACAAGCCGCCGACCCTCCACAGCAGGCAGACCCGCCTGCGAAGCCATCCTAGATGCCGACGCATCTTCTTCTCCGAAGCTGCACGCGACATACTTCGGCGTTATGGCCACCGAGCTGGGCTCCGCCCCACAGAGAGACTGCACGATCTTTCTGACGCTGGCCTCGCTCGACAGCGTGCCTTTGTGCATGGTCCTAAGGCCTCGAGGGATCACCACCGCGTCGTCAGCGGCAACGCCGCTGCGACCAGGCAGCTTCTCCAGGGCGTCGAGCATGGGGACGAGCTGGTCGCCGTCGTACTTGTGCCTGCCCGTGAGCAGCCGGTCGGAGAAGCAGGCCGCCAGCAGGGCGTAGACCGTGCCAGCGGAGGCGGTGAAGACCTCGCGTATCCTCGGGGCCTTCTCCGGAGGCGTCTCCTTCTGCTCCTCGAAGGAGAGGTCGGGGCGCCGCAGGAGGCATATCAGCCTGTGGAGGCTCTGGCGAACAGGGCACTCATCTTCATTGCGGCCAGTACCGCAGAGATCGCGCCCTCGCATGGCGATGTCTGCCACGTAGCCGACGAAGACCAGCATCTTCTGAGCATCGACGGCCTCGGACTCGGCCAGGGATCTGGCCGCCCGGGCCCACTTGGCCTGATGCGGCAGCGTCACTGGAGTCATGCCCAGACGGCGCGCCCAAGAGCCAAACAGCCGAAACAGCATGATGGGCTCGGAGAAGTGGCCCCCATCAAAGTGGCGTCGGCTCTCCGCCGTCTGGCGCAGCTGCGTGGTATAGTCCCTGTCGTCGTCGAACGCGAACCGTGAGGGGCTCTCGAACGGGCTCCCGGTCGAGCAAGCGGCTGCGAGAACCGCCGCCTCGGGTGCACACCCCCACAGGGCGCCCAGCCAGAGCAAGCGGCAGAGGCGGACATCCAATGGCAGCCACAGCGACAGGCGGCCCACCACCGTGACCTGGGCGAGCTCGTTGTTCTCCGTGAGCACCCCGAGCTCAGCGAGCTCGTGCACCGCAGCGTCGATCGCCTCCACGCTCGGTCGCGCGATGAGCTGTTGCAAGAGAGCCCTCGGCGACATGTCGGTGCGCTCGAGCTGCTGCGACTTCTCCTCGTCGTCCTGCAGAGCCCTTTTGAGGCCGTCGCTGATGCCCTTCGCCTGGAGCCAAAGCTTCGTGAGCGGAGTGCGCAATATCTCTGGCTCGTCATACCCGGGCACTCCGTCCTCAGAAAAGACACTCGTGACGAGCCTCACACACCAGCCAGAACGCGTGCGACCTGCGCGACCCTGGCGCTGTCTCAGCGAGGCCTTTGAGCACCACCGCGCGGCGAGCTGGGTCAAGCCTGGCTGACTCGGGTCGGAGAAGGTCGTCTTGAACACCCCGAAATCCACCACGCCACACACCTCGGGCAACGTCACGGACGACTCCGCAATGTTCGTTGCGAGGACCACGTTGCAGACGCCTGGGCCAGGCTCGTCGAGGACGAGCTCCTGGTCCTCGTTGGGCACCTGGGAGTGGAGCGCGAAGAGGCGGAAGGTGGTCGGCGCCTCGGCCACTTCCGACCTGGAATCGCCAATGTGCCCATCGACGGCGTCCACGTCTTTGCGGGGCACCTGCGAGCTCGGGTCTGGGCTAGCCTCTGAGATATCCTTAGGAGAAGATGAAGTGCATGAAATAAATTTAGGTGGTCCGCGCACAATTCTTGGATCGGCGCTAGCCCCCCTCCCTGCCGCGCTCCGCGCGACAACGGCGGCGCCAGAGGCGCCGCCAGGGGGCCCAGCGCCGATCCAACAAAACCGCGGACCTTCGAGCATTTATGCTTGCGTAGTCACTCGAGTCCTGGAGCTCCCCATCACCAGCCAGGACCTCTGGCCTTGGTGGTGCTCGCATTTCCGAGTCGGGGCTAGTGGCCAACGGCAGAGACCAGTACAGCTTGCTGTGGATCCTGGCGAGGTCCGCATACCCTGGGATGGTAGAAGAACAACAAAACGGCACAGACGCAAACGTTCGGACGCCCGCCCGGATTTCTTAGGCCAGCGCTGACCCCCCTCGCCTGGAGGCCGCCCTCGTGGGGTCAAAGTAGATGGCGGTCGGCGATACATCGGCAACGTCGGCGTGGAAAACATCGGACTCCACATCGAGCCGACCCTGCCTGCTTCGACCCTACTTGGGTTGCCTGGATATCCACACCCCCAAGCAACGCGTCCAGAGCGCGCCGGAGAGGGGGTGTAGGGCGGGGGGCCCAGCACCGACTCGCGAAGACCGCGCCCACGCACCAGGTGCATCCTCGTGCCTCTTTGGGCCCTTCCAGATGAATACGAGCATCGTCGAGCCCGCCTCAGCCACTGCCGGGACCAGAGCGACTGCGAGCTCCTCGAGCTCCCTCCACACGCGCGGTTTGATGTTGTCCCTGGCGACGCGAGCGCCCTGAAACACCTTTCGAGTAGGAGATTGACGACAGAACTGATGACCCCCCAGGTTGGCTCCCTCGCCAGATCTGCGAGGAGACACGCAGAAGGCTCCGCAGCTCTCTGGGGCAGTCTGTTCGTGTTCCCATAGATTCGGCGAGAAAACCAATCTTGGAGCGGATCGGTTCTGTCGTCGATCTCTTGAGCAGGGACCGACCGTCCTGGCATTTCTATAGTCCCACCACGAAATTCTCTGAGAACCCAAAAATGCTCTAAGAACAAAAACAATGCTCTCAGAACAAGAACCCGATGTGACAAAACAAGACGGCCCCAGCCAGGAGTGCTCTCGGAACACTTCGGGGGAACCACCAGAGGCTCTTAGAACATTCTTTGGCAGGCCTGCATAGGCCAACCAGGACGCTTCGCCGCTGCTTGAATTGCTCGGGCCTTGGGGACGCTCCTGGCGGCCAGCCTCTGCACGTCCTCCGGCAGCCGGCCGCCGCGCGGGGCCCTGCCCTCCGCCAGGTCCTCGAGGTGCAGCGTCTCCACCGGGAAGAGGCGGCCGTCTACCGTCAGCGGCCGGAGGGGCACCCCCGCCGGCTGCGCGAACTCCTAGGGAGGAGGAGGAGGAGGAGGAGGAGGAGGAGGAGGAGGAGGAGGAGGAGGGGGAGGAGGAGGAGGAGGAAGGGGCCCCAGGACACACAAAGAAATACACACAAGTGAAAAGATTCCCCACATCTTCCCATATATTTGGGGTTTTTTTGCCTTCCCCCCCACTTCCCATATGTTTGCACATTTTCCTGGGAGTCGACGATTCATTGTGTCTGTGTGTTTCTTTCCCTCCTGACTCAACTCGTGGCAGGAGCAAGGAAAGGCGGCACCGACACCACCAAGGGCGAGGAGATGCGAGGAGCGGGGGGGGGGTCTCCATGGTGGTGTGGTCCCCCCCTCTCGCTCGAGACATCCCCAGCCTCCAGCTCGGGGAGGCAACGTGGACCTCCTGGCTGGTGGTATTAGTGTCGCTTCTCCTCCCTCCGATCGTGGAGGCCAGGACAGCGGGCAAACACCAACTGTTCAATTCAGAGAGTTTTAGACGTGTTTCCAATATGTGCTGAACCCGTGTTGTGCGTGTTTCGAGCATGCTTGTTTACACAGCTCTTGAACCATGCTGAAAGCATGTGTAAGCCATCTGGAAATCAGAGCGAAGGGGCCGAACGGTCATTCACTGTCCCTGGGCGGGTGGCTGAAATACGGTTCCGCGGTGGGGTCTGGTGTAGTCGATGATGTTTGCTCTTTGTTGTTTGTTGGTTAATGTTTGTTGTTTGTTGTTTGTTGTTTGTTATAATCGTCCCGCCCGCGACCCGGCCCGCGACCCACCCGCGATCCACCCGCGACACAACCGCGACACCCTAGCCACGACCGACTCGCGAACCACCAACGATCCACTCCGCGACCCACCCGCGACCCATCCGTGACCCACCCCGCGCCCCGCCTTCGACCTACCCTCGACCCACCCGCGACCCACCCGCGACCGGACCCGCGACCCACCCGCGACCCGACCCGCGACCCACCCGCGACACGACCCGCGACCCACCCGCGACCCACCCGCGATCCACCCGCGACCCACCCGCGATCCACCCGCGCCCCACCCGCGACCCACCCGAAACCCGTCCACATTTTTGTTGACGGAAAAAACGGCGCCTGCGGCGGGCTGGTTGTATAATTAATCAATTAAGCGCCCGCGGCGGGCTTCTTGAGAGCCTCGCAGACTGCCGACGTCCCGCCGCCCCCTCACTCTTATCCGCAACTGCGGAGTGCTATCTAATTTGGCAGCATGCCTCCTCTCCATTGGTCGTCTTCCGTCTTCGTTTTGTTGTCGCTTCCCCTCGTTTTGTCTTCGTTCTGCCCTTGCTGCAAAGCGAAATCAAAACGAGAACGGTCCACGAGGGCGCTAAAACACCGTTCAGGTCGAACCCTGCTCCTGGAAGTACTCAACGAAGAGACTGGTGTCAATGGTCGCGGACATGAGCACCAGCCGGGGACCTGGGTAGAAGCGCATCAACAGACGCACGAGCAAAATGAGCAGCTCCATGTCAGCCGTGCGCTCGTGGGCCTCATCGAGGACAATATGCGTGAGGTCCCCGAACACCGACGGGTCCACGGTGAACCAGGAGAGGAGGTACCCAGCAGTTGCAAACGAGAGCTGTCTGCCAGGATTCGTATCTCCGCGTATTCTCCAACCAACCTCGGAGCATGGGGGGGGGAGGGTGAATAGGGGGAGGAAGGGGAGGAGGAAGAAGAGGAGGGGGAGCTGAAGGATGAGGAGGAGGAAGAGAAGGGAAAGCGGTGGAGTGGAGTGGTGTGGACCCCATTACTGATGCAAGTAACGATTATCAACTTAAACCGACCTCTGGATGGGAAGGGGGGGGAGAAGGAGGGGGAGGACGAGGAGGAGGAGTGGCCCAGGGGGGAGGTGGAGGAGGACGAGGAGGAGGAGGAGGAGGAGGAGGAGGAGGAGGAAGCGAAACGCGGTGTCGGTCCGGCGGGAAGGGCCCTAAGAGGGCGGCGCGGAGGGCTGGAGCCCTCAGGAGTCGTCCTAGGCGGGATGCTGGAGGCTGGATGTCGAAGTGCTGATTTCGTGTGGTCTGGAGGTCGGAATGCTGTGTGGGTGGAGGGTGGAGGTCGAAAGGGGGAGGAGGAGAAGTGGGAGGAGGAGGAGACGTGTGAGGAGGAGGCGGGAAGGAGCGGGAGTGGGGGGGGAAAGGGGAGGGCTTCCAAGACATCAGATGTTTTGTTTTCTCAATACTGGGAACCCTGGAGAACCCGAACCTTTTCTCCTGAGCCGGTTTGCATCACGAGTCGCGCTGTTGACCGTCACGAGTCCCAGTAAGGGCCTCAGGAGGCCGAAAGCGAACAAAAAACTCTCGTCCTGCTTCGTTCACGACCAGAGCACGTTTAGGTTCACATCTCCAGGAGTTCTCCAGCCCCAGCGTAACAAACAATGACAAAAACATAAAAAAACGGAGGTAGGTGAGAATTCTTCGGATCGGGGCTTGGCCCCTTCACTGGCATGCGGAGCGTGCCCGAAGCGGCGCTGGAAGCGCCGACAGGGGGGGCCCAAGCGCCGATCCGAGGAATCCGCGCGGACCTCTGACTCTTTATGTTCATGTCATCATTTGTTCCCCTACAGCCGACCTCGGTCCCAGTCTTCTCGCCGCGCTCCCGCGCGACGCGGCGAGCGAGCGTCACGGCGGCCATGCGCCGGGGCTGCGTCACCATGACGTTCGCGACCTCGCCCCTAGCGGCGCAGTCCTCGAGAAGCCCGGGGCGGCGCCTCCACCCCTCCTCGTCATCCTCCTCTTTTTGTTTCCCCTTTTCCTCCTCCATTTTTTTCCTCACCTCCTCCTTCTTACAGGATGCAGTGCACAACACCTGCTATCCCACATACTTGGATAGATGACCACATAATGGGATAGATGACTCTTGAACAACACGCGAACTCTAAAGCGGTGCTCATCCAGTCGGAACGATGGAAACTAACACCCACCCTCGGCTGATCAGCCGAATGTGGGAATGGGCGACATGTGTTCAGCAAAAGAGGCTATGCAACGGAAAGATTATGAATAAGTGGCCAGCACTGCCAGGACTCCACAACAATAAGGCAAGCGATAAAGTGAAGCGCCAAAAAACATGACAGGTGCAAGCAGAAGGCGACAATGATTTGGTCGTGAATGTGCAAGTTCCTCCTAACACGCGATACACTACATTCAGGTCTCGCAAAGCACCAAGGCATGCAAGGCGATTGCCATCTTCATTAGTTCGGGCTTTCACTAAATCCTGAGCTCACGTCTTCGGCAAATCGGCATGCGGGGACAACCCGGATACTGATTAAGCTACCACTCTGTCGTTGCCAGCCCGTGTATTCCACAAACAGTGTGTTGGTGGGTACCTCGCATGTGTTTGAACATGTCGTCCCTGCTTTCATAATTTGTTACAGCGTCTGCACCGCTCTCCTGGGTTCCTGCGTCGATCACTTTGATGTATCCTCGTCGTACATCTTCTTGTAGCCAAAACTGACAAACCTCGATGTTTCCAACTGTCCCTACTCCTCGACGGCTCGCACTGGCGAAAACCGCACTAGAATCGCTCGCCAACGCGACACTGCAATTAACATCGAAGTCTCTGAGACCTGCTTGTAGTCCTAGCGCTACTGACCCGTCCTTCACTTTTCCGCAATACTCCGCTTCTCCAGAAAATAACACCACGACGCTCTGAATCGGCGATCCACGCATAACTGTTCGTCAAATGCCTGATTCACGTGTCCTCTTGCATCCAGAATACTCGATGTCAGTCCACAACGTCAACTCCTGGGCGCGCTGCTGGCAAAAGCACTGACATCCACGCCTGTCGCGGATCCAGAGGCACTTGCTCAATTATACAAGGCTTGCCCATGCCCCTCGGGCCAGGGCTGACACAGAACACGCCAAGTCTGTGACTGAGACCTGCATGTCTGAACGGTCCTGTGCGCCCTAGCCACTAAAGCTTGGGATTTCTTAACCTCATGGCTTGGTAGGGGCACTTCATCATCTTCTTCGCAGATCTGCTTTTCGCCCGGCATCCCTTTCTCTTTCGTGCTGGCCCATGGCAATGCTTTTCCATTATCAAAGATAATATCACCTGAAAAATCTACACAAACATCCCCCAATTGCTGGCTGCATCCCGACTGCCGCACACTGTCTTCAATAGCATTCCACACAGGCCCGGTTCACGGTCTTCCTCGGGCAACCAGATGAAGAAGTCATTTCTGGCCTCGGCGCGCCAGCATGCCCGTTCAACTATGCGCGCCAATATCAGCCCTTACCGCCCCCCACGACGATGCCCTAAGTCCTCGGTGTCAGACATGAAGACAAACAGTTTTGGGGTTCCAATGGATGCGCGGCTGCAAATATGTTCTCCTCTTCCGAGTTGAACTCAACCACCTGGGCCACCAGCTATGCTCGACACTCAAGGTTGGCCCCACCCCCTTCCGTTGACATCGGCCCACCCAGTGCAAATGGTGAGCCTGCCGTTTGCCGCCCAGCACTCCTGCCCCACCCCTTTCTCGCAGAGCTCGCGTTTCCTAAGGCGCCCCACCTCCTCTCCCGAGCCCGCGACGCGAGCCCTGGATCAAGCTCACGTCCTGACGCATGATCTTACGCCTGTACTGCTCCACGTTCGCGGTGGACTACACATGCGCCACCTCGGGCAATTGGCTTCACCTCAACAACGCACCCGCATGTCTCGCGAGCCCCTGGAATGTTCGGCCACCCCCGGCGCCGGCACGCCGCGCAGATCCCTTCGCGAGGCCGGGCGCGCCAGGTAACTCGGCAAGTGAATTATTCAATGGCGGCGTCGCAGGCCCACCCTCTGACCCCCCCCTTCCCGCCCCCCCACCCACCTTACCAACCCCCCTGTCCTCGAGTGCCTGGCCGACGCCCAGGCACTCGCGCATTCCACGCTGGCCCTGAATTTTCCGCGGAAGCACGGGGCGAGATGCACCGTGATTTGTTCTGACCCAAGCCAACGCAGGCCCATCCCCGCGCTCGCTCGGCTCGCACCCGATCTCGCTAATACCCACTCCCACGCCTGGTCCACTCCGATTGACCTCGGGGCCACAGATTCGGATGGAGGACCCCAATCGGTCACCCGCCATCATCTGGCCACCTAGGCCATCAAATATAGCTCGAAAGAGTCCGTCTAGATATAGCTCTGATCTTCTCGCCCCACCTCCCCCGATTGACTCGATGCGTCGGAGCTGCCCTTGACATTTCGCGCTGAGGGCACTTCCGATCTAGGGGCTGTTGGCCATGAATCGCATGGGCTTCTTCACGGGCATCTCTTCCCCTTTCACCACATGCTGCAAGTCATAGCAGCACGGGGCCCCGTCACATGCCCGCACGCAGTCGCGCTTCAACTTCTCTGCGCTGGCGCCAGCACGAGGCCCCCGCGGGATGTTCAAAGAAAGTATAGCCCGCTCCTTTTCTGATACTCACAAGTCAACACGAGAGCGGGGCGCTTCATTCGCGACCGAAGGGCGCTTCAAGTTTAATACCTTTACTCTGCTGATGAAAACCACTTATTCGATTTACGAGTAACAGCAAGGCTGCTTTGATATTGGTGATCTTCTCCACTTTCGCTCGCACCGCCTCACAGTTAAACCCGAAGGGTTCCAATACTCATCGCATGCAATTGGGGCCATGCACGATTTCCTCCGCAATACAACGGACTAACGACTACGCCTCAGAAACATGCGGCTGCACATTGTGCTGGCCTCTGCCGCAAAAAAAACCCACAGCTCCCCCAAGCGCATTGACCTGCTTGATGACATCCAGATCAACGCTGAACATCCAAATCACAACTCCGGCAAACCCATGCGAATTCAGCGCGCACTTCCTCCGTCTTCACATGATCATCCTATTCGCGCGCATCCCCAGGCTCATTTCCACGAACATCATCGTCGCTCGGCCCCGTACTAACCTCGCCTCTGCATCCTCATTCAGACGATCCTTACCCTATTCCTCTTCCACTCCGACTGCTTCGGCCCTCTCGCCACCTTCGAGCCCCTCCGCCTTTCTCTCCGCCGCCGCTGACCGCGGCGGGAATGCGCCTGCCGGTCGCGCGTCGTCGCCGCCGCCCGAGATCGCGCGGAAACCGGCCCAGCCCGCGTCCAAAACCAACCAGTCACTCCCATCGCTGACTTGCCAGTCGTCGGCCACGCAGTCCATTTCGCCAGCCCCTCGATAGATTACACGCGTTCGTCCGTCATTGCTTTGTCGCCCCACGTCATTGGGCGCGCTCGCCTTCGCGGCGGGCCGACGGCGTCGTCGATTTACTAGCCCGTCTGGACTACCCAGCCACCCAGCCACGACGCCTCCCCACGCATGTCCTGCCCGACGCCGCCGGGCCCAACTCTCGCCCGAGCCGCCGCCACCCTCTCCAGGAAAGATGCTCGAGTTGGCCGTTCAGCCCACTCGAAAGCCCGCCCGCGCCATCGCGGCCCACGCGGTTCACGCGCGGCGCCCCCTCGAGCACGACACCCCGGCGCGGGTCGACCGCCGAATCCTGACAGGGCGCCCCCATGGGCGATAACACGCCGGGCGCAACTCCATTCCAAGCGCGCCGGGGTCGGGTTGCCGAGGAGGCCCCCTCACGCCGGCTACCTCGTCCAGCCCCCACCCCCCACCCCGTCGCCACGTCGCGGCTGAACGCACGGGAAAGCACGGCCCCGTCGCGAGCGCCAGCGATTCACTCCTGACTTGACTGGTGCACCCCCGAAAATATTCCACCCCCATCTTGCTTCGAGGTCGCTGCTTCCCTGTTTTGAACGGGTCTTGAATGGCATGACGCAGTCTCTAAACTCGGGCAACGCCTCGTTGAATTCGCGCCCACGGCACCATCATGAGCCGTCTTTCCGCCAGCATCAACGGCGAAACGGACGAGGAGGGAAGGCGCGCGAACATCTAGCCACGGCATGGGAGCGCGCCCCTGAACATTCCACCTCGCCCCTGTCGTCACAATGGCGCTTTTATTATCCGAGCGGCCGCCCGCGATTTCTCGCGGCGACTTCGAACTCGCAGCTCAATTGAAGATCCCCGACGGCGCCAACCTGTGCCCCCAAGTCGAGGTCGCAAAGAGCTTCAGCGGCTTCTTTAAGCAGTGCAATGGGCGGCCCCCCACCACTCTCAAGGATTGCCCTCGCATGTCCATCGCGAACTACTTGCATCGAGCGGGGGCCCGCCCCGCCCACGCAAAACGCGGGCCTGGGCCAACCCGGCGCGCAAGCAACGCGCGACTGCAGCGGGATCCGCGGTTTCTTCCTCTTCACTGGCTCCTCTTTCCCCGCTTGGTCACGTGTGGCCGATCGAGATCAGTGGCAGACCCTGCCTCCGCAATTCCATCCTGCGTTCGGGCGCCCCCGCGGTCTTCCCTCCAACGCAGCGGGGGCGTAAACTTCGGCAGAGCAAGTGAATCTTGTCGCGAACTCAAAGTCTTGTTCGTTGTCTCACATCGCACGCGATGCCCCCAGCCACGCCAGCCTCGCCACCCGCGAACACGTCCTCGACATCACCGAACCCACTGCCCCCGATCCCCCTCTTTTGGTCGTCATTCAAAGTCCCGATGAGCGGATTCTGACTGGACCTCACGGGATCACCAGACTCAGTAGGACAGGTCCGCCACGCGGGCTCCCTGTCAAGGAAAAACCCCAACTCATTGCTCTCTGACTTCGCCCGTCCTTCTCGCCCTTTCTCGTCTCGCAAGTCCTTTCGGGGCCT